AGGAACCTCACAAAAAGCATTGAGTTGCGAGTAAAGGCCCAAATTTTTCCCCCAAAACAAATTCCAGCGAGGGCTACAAAAAGGTGGTGAATATGAAAAAGTAAAAAATGATTGGAAAATGATCGCTGCCATGAAACGCCCGGGTTTAAAACAACCAGGTGAAGTTATTGCAGTGGAGGAGAGCAGACTGATGGGTTCGATGCAAAAAAAAGGAGTATGGAAAGAGGATAAAAATGGGTTTGGGAGTACCCGTATTTAAAACATGGAGGGGTGAGAGGCGAAAAAAGCCTCAAAACTGGTTCCCACACGTGGTCAAAAAGAGAACCCCCCCCCAGGGGAAAATGGTGGGCTTTTAAAAATCACCAATAACGAAGGGGTGGGGGTTAAGGATGAAAAAAGAAAAGCAAAGTCGGGGATAAAAAAAATGCTCGAGAAGGGGAGAGATATAAAAAAAACATTTTTTAAACCACTTTATTTCAAGTGGTTACGGGCTCGTGTAATCAAGAGTAGGGGACAAATATTTTGGACAGTACGGAATATCATTGCGTAAAGAAGGGCACTTTTTTTAAACCCTTCGAGGGCTTTGGCCGTACTAGACGGCTTGGGACACGGGTTTTTGACGTCCTAGTCGCCAAAAATTTTTAGCCCCCCTCAAATCTAGGGAGAAACCCTGGTGGGCCCTACATATGAAAAAATTGGGTCTATGTGGCCCAGGTGCACAGAAAAAAAAAAATCCTGCAGCACCAAAACTGCAAAATGAAAAAAAAAAAACCGACCGGGTTTTTTGGAAAAAAACCCGGGAAAATTTTGCACTTTTTTTCGTATGGTATTTATTGTTTTTATTCATTTTTCTTGGTCTCATTTTAAAAAATGGAAAACATTTTTTACAGAAACTGAGATGTTTTTGGGAGGGTTTTTCCCAATGAAATTTCCTTGGGAAATTTGAGCTCAATAGCAAAAAAGTTGTTTATTTCCCAAAATTTAAAAAGAAAACCCCAAATCATCCCAAACGTCCAATACAAGTAAAATGGGGGTTTTCAAATATTTTTTTTGCAATTTGGGGCCAATATTATTTAAAAACCATTTTTTCCCACAAAAGCAGTACTCTGCATAACAATTTAAAATTTTTATTTTTTTTTGAGAATAAAAAATTCAAATGGAAAGCAAAAAAAATGTAAGAGGGGCCTTGGGGACTTAAATAATGAACAAAAGAAATTTTTTTAGGCCCGGAATGGGCTTTTTGTTTATTCCCGGAAACCCCATTCCCGGAAAAATTTGGGGTCTTTTGGGAAATTTTTTTGTGAAACTGGGGAAAATTTTCTAAATTCTGACCACTGACTGGATAGTTTTAAATTGGTAAAAAGGGGGGTTTTTTGCCTCATTTTGATAGAAAAAATTTTTAAGGGAAAAAATTCATGTTTTTTGTCGACTAGTGCAGTGGAATTGGCCGAAAATGGGACTCAAAGTGGGCAATATAGTTTTGCAGTGGTTGGTGCAATTATTTAATAAATGTATGGAAGAGGGTAAGGTACCTAGGGATTGGCAGAGAGCATGCATAGTTCCTTTGTATAAAGGCAAAGGGGACAAAAGAGAGTGCAAAAATTATAGGGGGACAAGTCTGTTGAGAATACCTGGTAAAGTGTATGGTAAGAGTTATTATTGAAAGAATTAAGAGTAAGACGGACAATAGGATAGCAGATGAACAAGGAGGCTTTAGGAAAGGTAGGGCGTGTGTGGACCAGGTGTTTACAGTGAAACATATAAGTGAACAGTATTTAGATAAGGCTAAAGAGGTTTTTGTATCATTTATGGATTTGGAAAAGGCGTATGAGAGGGTAGATAGGGGGGCAATGTGGCAGATGTTGCAGGTGTATGGTGTAGGAGGTAGGTTACTGAAAGCAGTGAAGAATTTTTACAAGGATAGTGAGGCTTAAGTTAGAGTATGTAGGAAAGAGGGAGATTATTTCCCAGTAAAAGTAGGCCTTAGACAAGGATGTGTGATGTCACCGTGGTTGTTTAATATATTTACAGATGGGGCTGTAAGAGAAGTAAATGCGAGGGTCTTGGCAAGAGGTGTGGAGTTAAAAGATAAAGAATCAAGCACAAAGTGGGAGTTATCACAGTTGCTCTTTGCTGATGACACTGTGCTCTTGGGAGATTCTGAAGAGAAATTGCAGGGGTTGGTGGATGAATTTGGTAGGGTATGCAAAAGAAAATTAAAAGTGAATACAGGTAAGAGTAAGGATATCAAAAAGATTAGGTGATGAAAGATTGGATATCAGATTGAAGGGAGAGAGTACGGAGGAGGTGAATGTATTCACATACTGGGGAGTGGACGTGTCAGCAGATGGGTCTATGAAAGACAAGGTGAATCACAGAATTGATGAGGGGAAAAGGGTGAGCGGTGCACTTAGGAGTCTGGGGAGACAAAGAACTTTGTCCTTGGAGGCAAAGAGGGGAATGAATGAGAGTATAGTTTTACCAACGCTCTTATATGGGTGTGAAGCATGCGTGATGATGTTGCAGCGAGGAGAAGGCTGGAGGCAGTGGAGATGTCATGTCTGAGGGCAATGTGTGGTGTGAATATAATGCAGAGAATTCGTAGTTTGGAAGTTAGGAGGAGGTGCGGGATTACCAAGACTGTTGTCCAGAGGGCTGAGGAAGGGTTGTAGAGGTGTTTCGGACATGTAGAGAGAATAGAGCAAATCAGAATGACTTCAAGAGTGCATCAGTCTGTAGTGGAAGGAACGCGGGGTAGGGTTCGGCCTAGGAAAGGTTGGAGGGATGGGGTAAAGGTTTTGTGTGCGAGAGGCTTGGACTCCCAGCAGGCATGATAGGAGTCAATGGAGACAAATGGTTTTTAATACTTGACGTGCTGTTGGAGTGCGAGCAAAGTAACATTTATGAAGGGATTCAGGGAAACCGGCAGGCCGAACTTGAGTCCTGGAGATGGGAAGTACAGTGCCTGCACTCTGAAGGAGGTTATGTTAATGTTGCATTTTTAAAAACTGTATTGAAAAGCCCCCTTCTGGCAAGACAGTGATGGAGTGAATGATGGTGAAAGTTTTTCTTTTTCAGGCCACCCTGCCTTAGTGGGAATCGGCCAGTGTGTTATAAAAAAAAAAAAAAAATTGTAAGTTTAAGGGCTAAATTCCAGTAGCCACTTAAAACCATACATGAAATCTTTCCTTGTCATTCTGTCTGAAAATAGGAACACCTCTGATACATCTTTCAAAAATTTGAAGAATAGTACCAGTCTTAGTACTGAGGCACTGAAATTTACCCCTCGTCTTACGTCCCGGTGTCAAACAAAACACCCGATTATTTGTAAGATAATAACCCCCCCCCCCCCCCACCGCATCTTTTGGCTGGTAATATACAGTACTCTCGTCACATCAGCAGAAACCAAGTAAATTTGCTCTGCACCACGCAATTCGGGCCAGTAAATCAGCAATCCAAGATGGCAACCTTGAATTCACTGAGCCACTTCGGCTGACAAAACAGAAGGGTGACCGGACACAAGCCATGAGTCATACTCCCTCCCTTTGGATGCCACTTGGGACTGACATGCAGCCTCCAAGGATACTGTCACCCAAGTGTGCCCATTGAGACTCCAGAGGGAGACCAAACACATTCAAAGATAATCCAATTCATAGGGAAAACACCACCACTGAAGGTCTGAATGGAATGGGATGGACAAAAAACCATTTCTTCTAAACAAGTAGAATATCCCCAAAGGCCGAATGGACAGGCCACTGAGGTTTGTTCCGAGGAAGAAGACTTAAGGCTAAATTACCTTTTATAAGAGCCTCTTTGCCCCCAAAAAGGGATACCCACTTAAAAGGAAGCTGAAATATGAAACGGTAGCTGCTTAGAACTTAATCTATATACAAATGCACAATTATACACACTACTGACCAGAATCAATAATTAATCAGGAATCATGGGACCAACAAATATTTACCTTCATGATAGATCTCTAAGGGTAGTTCTCAATGGAACAGAATCAGCAAGACATCCTACTGGGTCAAGTATTCCACAAGGAAGTGTCCTGGAACTATTGTTATGGAATGTCTACTTCAATGACCCACTGCATGTCATCCCAGAACCCCATGCATATGCAGTTGTTTGTACTCTGACATTTACTTATCCAAGAGAAGAAATGCCAGCTGCTCTAAGCCACATCAATCGCCAGCTAAGAGCTATATCAGCTTGGGGAAACAGATGTCAAGTAACATTTGCACCTGAGAAAACACAAATGATGGTCTCTAGGCACCATGATGGTAATGCTGGTGTAGTAGTAAGTATGAATGGGAGGGTGTTGTTACCTGAGGAAGAAGGCAGCCAGGAAGCTTACAGCACTTCACCATATCTTGCATCTGCCTGTCAGCAGGGTTTTCAAGATTCTGTACGAGGCACAAGTACGCTCACATCTTGAGTATGCTCCACTTTCTTCGTTTGCCTCCGCCCCCCACCACCTGAGACTGCTTGACAGAGAATAGAGCAAGATGTCTCATCTCTCGCCTGGACCCATCCTGGATAGAGCTGTCATTTCAGCAGAGCCTTCAACACAGGAGGGATGTTGGTGGCCTTAGTGTTATATACAAGACCAACATTGTCAAAGTATCACACTTGGATCTCGTTATGCACTGCATGTGGCAGGATTTTTATTATACTGCACACATTGACCATGCAGATCCGTTCTTTCACATGTAGGTCTACCAGCTTTGTCTCGCTAGATTTGAAACCGCTAGAATTTTGGTGTAATAATACGGCACCAACACCGGCTTGCAAGCCATACTAATATGACATTGAAATTGAAAAGGTTAAGATGTTCTGCAAAGTCCATCAATCAGAAGGCTAAATCCACTGCATATGTATTTTCTCCGGTAGAACATGGGTGCCTCAATCCAACATGTTTTCCTTTAAACAAACATCCCCCCCCTCCCCACATTAGTTCGTAACACCAGAGGTATCTATTACTAAAGGTATAAACTTACTTAAAAACTTTCTTGCTCATTCAGCATGTATCCATCATCTGAAATACAAAACAGTGGCTGCTTAGAATTTAATTCAATTTACAAATACACAATTATGCACACTATTGATCAGTATCAATAATTAATCAGGAATCATGGGACTAACAGATTGTATTTCATAGCATCATTGTAACTAATTTTTTTTTCAAGTTTTTATTTTTTTTTTATCACACTGGCCGATTCCCACCAAGGAAGGGTGGCCTGAAAAAGACAAACTTTCACCATCATTCACTCCATCACCGTCTTGCCAGAAGGGTGCTTTACACTACAGTTTTTAAACTGCAACATTAACAACCCTCCTTCAGAGTGCAGGCACTGTACTTCCCATCTCCAGGACTCGAGTCCGGCCTGCCGGTTTCCCTGAACCCCTTCATAAATGTTACTTTGCTCACACTCCAACAGCACGTCAAGTATTAAAAACCATTTGTCTCCATTCATTCCTATCAAACACACTCATGCATGCCTGCTGGAAGTCCAAGCCCCTCGCACACAAAACCTCCTTTACCCCCTCCCTCCAACCTTTCCTAGGCCGACCCCTACCCCGCCTTCCTTCCACTACAGACTGATACACTCTTGAAGTTATTCTGTTTCGCTCCATTCTCTCCACATGTCCGAACCACCTCAACAACCCTTCCTCAGCCCTCTGGACAACAGTTTTGGTAATCCCGCACCTCCTCCTAACTTCCAAACTACGAATTCTCTGCATTATATTCACACCACACATTGCTCTCACACATGACATCTCCACTGCCTTCAGCGTTCTCCTCACTGCAACATTCATCACCCATGCTTCACACCCATATAAGTGCGTTGGTAAAACTATACTCTCATACATTCCCCTCTTTGCCTCCAAGGACAAAGTTCTTTGTCTCCACAGACTCCTAAGTGCACCACTCACCCTTTTCCCATCATCAATTCTATGATTCACCTCATCTTTCATAGACCCATCCGCTGACACGTCCACTCCCAGATATCTGAATACATTCACCTCCTCCATACTCTCTCCCTTAAATCTGATATCCAATCTTTCATCACCTAATCTTTTTATCCTCATAACCTTACTCTTTCCTGTATTCACTTTCAATTTTCTTCTTTTGCACACCCTACCAAATTCATCCACCAATCTCTGCAACTTCTCTTCAGAAGCTCCCAAGAGCACAGTGTCATCAGCAAAGAGCAACTGTGACAACTCCCACTTTATGTGTGATTCTTTATCTTATAACTCCACGCCTCTTGCCAAGACCCTCGCATTTACTTCTCTTACAACCCCATCTATAAATATATTAAACAACCTGCTGTGAGTAAATGCAGTCAAGTACACTTTGAAAGAAAATATATCGGATGTTTTTTTTTTTTTTTACAGAACTTTGTAAGTAGCTCTAATATCTATAACAACAGATTTGCCTCCACCACTTCCTTATCATATATGATTTCGTTACTGTGTCAACTAAATTAACTAATAATGTACACCGACAATATTCTAAATTAAGTGCAAATTTTTGAAAACTCTCAATTGCATTTACACCAGATTTCATAATACAGAAGAGTTTCATAAGAGATGATTGTATTCAATTTAAAACTCAATAAAGTAAATACAGCATTCATGTTGAGAATAGACTTACTTTTAGTGCAGATGGTTACCGTTGCTCTTCCTCTTCTTTCTCGTCCTGCAAAATACATAGTTTTAAATTTATGCCGTTGCCAAATAATTGCTTTTCAAATTCATGTCAATCAGAAAAAATTCACCCGGTGAGCGTTTCATTATTTTCAATCGGTAATTCCATTATCAAACTAAAGGCTTTCACTGGGGAGTGAAATCGAATGACTACAGTATAATTAAACCAATATATCTTGAAATTGAGAAACCTACACAATATATTCATCTTCAAATTCCCAAAAGAGTTAAACATGTACAGCAGTTGGGTATCTTTAATACTGAAGCATTTCACCTTGCGGTAGGTTTTGTTAGTCAAATACACGTTGATGGACCGTTTTAAATCTTTACTTCGCCATTACTGCTGCCTATTATACATTCTCTTCTGTATCTGACTGACAAAGCCTACCGTGTAGACGAAAAATTTCAGCATTAAGGGCATCCAACTATTGTACTTGTTTCTTGTTTGTCTGTATTTTTACCATTTTCAACACCTTCAAATTATTCCCTGCAAAAGCAAATTAGTGTTAAAGCTATAATAATAATAATAATAATAATAATAATAATAATAATTATATATATATATATATATACAGTGGACCCCCGGTTAACGATTTTAATCCGTGCAAGAGGGCTCATCGTTATGCGAAATAATCGTTATGCGAATTTGAATTTCCCCATAAGAAATAATGGAAATCAAATTAATCCGTGCAAGACGCCCAAAAGTATGAAAAAAATTTTTTTTTACCACATGAAATGTTAATTTTAATACACACAAACTGAAAAAAGGCATGCACAATTAAATGCACTTACTTTTATTGAAGATCTGGTGATGATTGATGGGATGGGAGGAGGGAAAAGCATTATCTTCTTACTGTTTAGAAGGGGAATCCCCTTCCATACGGGCTTGAGGTAGCAAGTCCTTTTTCCGGGGTTACTTCCCCTTTTTCTTTTTAATGCCACTAGGACCAGCTTGAGAGTCACTGGACCTCTGTCGCACAACAAATCTGTCCATAGAGCTCTGTACCTCCGTTCCTTTACGATTTGTCTAAATGGGCCACAACATTTTCATTGAAATAGTCACCAGCAGGCTTGCAACAGCGTGTCAGGGTGATTTTCATCTATAAAGGTTTGCAGTTCAACCCACTGTGCACACATTTCCCTTTAAAATCTTTAAAAGTAGGCACAATGGATTCCACAACGGGCATAGGCTTCCCCAGGGTTAGCCCAAAAACCCTTCAAAATCTTTCTTAATTTCCATACTAATTCTCACCCTTTTTACCACGGGGTTTGGGCACTGAAGCTTTCTTGGGGCCCATGGTCACTTATTTTCCAGAAACTGCACCGAAAACACTTTAATAATACGAAATATTCCGAGTGTAGGGCTTGGATTGTTACCGCGGAGGCTGGTGGTTAAACAATGGGCGGCCGGCACATGTGAGGCTGGCTGAGGGCACATTGGACGCGTCTCGGACGAAAATCGGTAAGCGGGGGTTTTTAATCGGTATGCGCGGCAAAAATTTTTGCGATAAAAGTAATCGGTATGCGGAAAAATCGCTATGTGATCCCATCGTTATGCGGGGGTCCCACTGTATATATTTAATATATATATATATTATATAATATATATATATATACACACACACACACCCCAACACACACACACACACAACACAGTGGACCCTGGTTTACGTCACCTCCCAACGCGACCAATTATGAAATGTGTATTTACGTAAGTCCGTTTGTAGTGTTGTTAAGGGTCTGAAATGGACTAATCTAATTCACAATATTCCTTTTGGGAACAATTTCGTTCAGTATTATTATTATAATAAAAAAGAAGCGCTAAGCCACAAGGGCTATACAGCGCTGCAGGGCAGGAAGCGAGGGCATCAGGTGGCAAAAGGGAGATGGACGAGTAATAGGTTACGGATAACAGCGGGGCAGTGGATGGTGAAAGGGTAAAAGGGCCCAGAAAGAGACTGAACTAAAAAGGGCTGAGGGGAGTGCGAAACGTATCATCATCAGAGTTTGTGGAGTAAATCAGTCGTCGTCAAGAAGTCAATGAGAGAGTCAGGATTAAAGGAGTGTCCATCAGCAAGAAGGGAAGGTAAAGAGAGAGTAGTACAACGAAGACGACGTTGGAGGTAAATTCTGCGTGCTCGTTGAAAGAGGGGGTAGTCTAACAGAATGTGGCTAATTGATACTGGAACTTGACACTGCTCACAGAGAGGAACAGGGTGTCTCTCCACGAGATACCCATGAGTAGAGATGTGTGGCCAATGCGAAGGCGGGAAGAGAGTGGTCTCCCAACCTCGGGCACTGATGACAAGACGGCCAGTAACCTATGCTCAGTTTAACAGAATGATGTTTATTACCGAGCAGAGTTGACCAACGTTGTTGCCAACGGGTGTGAAGGTGGGTAGTTATTGCAGCAAAAGTCCAGAAATGGAACACCTCTATAGGAAATAGGTAGGTCATGTACTGCTGACCGCGCAGCAGTGTCTGCCTGTTCATTGCCCTTTTACGTCGACATGACCAGGGACCCAACAAAAAAAAAATATCTTTATGCTTGGTAGAGATACGGCGTAGCCAAAGTTGGATACGGAGAACTAGAGGGGTGAGATGAATCAAATTTTCGTATAGCCTGTGGAGCACTAAGGGAGTCTGAGACTACCACAAATGATGACACAGGCATAGATGCGATATGAATAAGTGCTGCAAGAATGGCACACAATTCAGCAGTAAAAATGCTAGCCGAAGATAGTAAATGCCCTCGCACGACGCAGTCCGGAAACACTGCTGCGAATCCCGACATAGTCTGAAGACTTAGAGCCATCTGTGTACACAGCCATGGCATGAGAATAAGAGTGGAAGTGATCAAGAAAAAGAGCGGGAAGCCACCGCAGGCAGTTGGGCTTTCGAGCAAGGTAGTGAGAAAGAACAGTCCCGAACAGTTGGAACTTCCCAGGGGGGTTTAGGGAAAAAGTGAGATGCTACATTAACATATAAAGGTGGTAACTGAAGGGAAGACAAGCGAATGTAGGCGAAGAGAAAAGGGACGGAGCAAACAGGGTCGGCGAATAAATAATGTCTACTAATTTTGGTGACCATTCTATAAATGGAAGGATTGTGGAGATCGTGAGAGCGTACATAGTAGCGAAGGCAATGGGCATCACAGCGATCAGACAAGGATGGAAAATTCGCTTCTGCATAGAGGCTCTCAACAGGGGAAGAGCGAAACGCAAAAAAGGCATCAATGTAACCCTTGGTGATGGATGGGTTTAAGGCGAGAGAGAGTAGCAGAAGAGGCCGCTGAATAAATCTGGTCACCATAATCGAGTTTCGATAAAACGAGGGCTGAATATAGGCGATGCAGAGTTCGACGATCAGCTCCCCAGGAAAGATGAGCAAGGGTTTTAAGAAGGTTTAGCCGGCTGTGACAAGTTGCCTTCAGAGATGTAATGTGAGGTTTCCAGGAAAACCTACGGTCAAAGAGAAGGCCTAAAAACCTGTCTATCACTTTCAGGGATACGGGAGCCATAGAGATACAAAGGACGATCGGAGATGATAGAGCGTCTAGTGAAAGTAATACGGTGAGTTTTGGTACCGGAAAATTTAAACTCATGCGTGGTGGCCCAAGTGGAAACACGGTCGACCGCATGCTTGAGAGAAACTGCAATGAGATGACAGTCAGCGCCTGCACAAGCAATAGCAAAGTCATCAACAGAGTGATGACCAAATATTGGGTGGAAGAGCAGAGGCCAAATCATTTATACGAAGGAGAAAAAGTGTTGTGCTCAGAACACATCCCTGAGGGACACCTTCCCGTTTGGAAAAAGTCCGGGGAAAACACATTATTGACTCGAAACCGGAAGTGTCTGTCAGTTAAAAATTTTCTTAAGGAAGGATGGTAGATTGCATCGGAGGCCTAAGGAGTGGGCTTGGGCCAAAATATACACCTCCAAGTTGTGTATATGCCTTCTCAAGGTAAATACTGAGGATTTATTTGAAAAGGCATTACGAACAATAAATTATAGCCTGAGATAGGTTGGAAAACCAGCCGAGTGTAATTTTGGTTCTTGTAAGCAAGCCCCAACAGGGGAAAACCTGGAAGCAACATCTGAAGCTCACCCCGATTACCCGAGGCCGCGGATTTTCCCACTGTAAATAGGCAATAAATTGGCGATGAAGAAAAAACCAGGAATCCGTAGGGAAAGGCACCTACGGACTTAGAGGGGTTAGAAAAGTCAACGTGCGGTGGCATTGGAAAGCGTTCAAGCAGCGAAGGAACGGAGCATTGCGAAGAATGGATTTTGTGAAGATGGAGGAGAGGGAAGAGAAGGAACAGGGGGTGATTCAGTGCCCATTGAATTTTAGTCTCAGCAATATATTCTGAAATGCTTTAAAGGGTGTTTCTGAATTCAATGATGTATGGGAGACCATACTGGAGGTAGAAGGAGGAGGGCGAAAAAAAGATTGGGACAGTAATGGACTGTACCAAGTAGAGGGGGACGAAAGAGTGTAGGGGACTGGAGATGAAGTGTGTGTGTGTGTGTGTGGGGGAAGGGGACAGAAGAGGCAGAAACATGGGAGGTGGCAGGGGAAGAGGGAGAAACTTGGGAGGGACAGGGATGGAAGGCATAGTACGAGGGGAGGGTCAAAACTCCACACTCGTAATAGAGCCAGAGAGAGGGGAAAAACTAGGCACGAGATTGGAAAGGTTTAAAATGTGGAGGTGGGAAGAAGGGAAGGAAGGGGCAAAGAAGATTTGAGCAATGTGGATTTTTTGGACTTTGAGAAGTAGAGGGGTGATTGGTATAAGGTGTTACGAGGTCTTGTCGATACTGGGGCTTGTGGGAAGGACCGAAGATGTGAGAACAGACTGAGTTGTAGTCGGGAAGTCAGAGCCAAGGAGAGAAAAAGGATTAGATTGCGGAGTGGCTATGGGAGGGGTAACAATTTGAGGAGGCTTTCAGATGGGACCCCAGAAGTGGGGGGACGTTTTGAAAAAAC